TGATAGGATGACATTTGTGTTATGACACTGACATTTGTGTTATGATACAGTGTCCTGATATGGCAATGCAGATGACTAGAAGGTTGTTCTCGCATGTCTGCCAAACCCAACTAGCAATGCTGGGGTTAGGTACAAATGACCCAGGCAGGCTTAGTAATTATCCTTTGAGCTTACTCCTAATATTTGTCTTTCTGAACATTTTTGCTTTATCCCAACAATCAAACCTGGCAAAGCGACCTACTCCTTGGATAATTCTGGAAATGGTAGGGGTTAAAATTCTGTGTCCTCAGTGGTAGCCAAGCATTTACCCCACTCCTTTATTGGAAACTCTTTAAAACCTTCCTTGCTGAATCCATACCATCTTAAATTTAGTAGTCTGTTGCCTGATCTATTTCAGAAAGACAGAGACTTCTTTTTATATTTTTGATTGTTCCTTGGCTCCCTCACTGCCTAATTTATTTTCCGTCATACAAAAGAATGCCTAGTGTCTCTGAAGCTGTAGCCTGTTTTTTTCAAACTTCCAGTATTTGGAGCCCAGACATTTCCTATATTCAACTTTCACATTCTATTAACTGGAGCAAAAGCAGGGATGGCTTTGGATTTGCAAAACTTAATTGGCTGAATGTTGGCTTTGCAAACCAGAACAAGGGTGCTTTGTATCTGGGTTTGGTTTATTAGAAGAGTTTGGAGCATGTGATTTTAGGATACTGGGACTTTCACCCATTCCTCTTTGATAATAACCAGTTCCCCCAAGCCATTATCTAACAATACAAACTGCAAGGTCCATAAGTTAACACTCATGAACCCCACTGGAAATTCAACCTGCAGCCCCTACATTGCAGAAATTCCAGTTTGGAATATGGAGATGTACATAGAATCCTAGGGCTTGGAAGAGACGTCAGGAGGTCAGGGTGTCCAGCCCCCTGTCCGAAGTAGAACCAACCCTAACAAAATCCTCAAAGCTGTGGCTTGATCCCATCCCTAGTAGTTATGCAGTCCTGTATTTTCTGGAAATGTCAGTGAAAACCAACCTTTTGTCTTGATCAAGTGAGTACCCATTGAAAGTCACACCCTCCTTGTTCTTACAGCCTGACAGCCACCTTAGCAAGTGTTGGAGCTGCCAGTATACCCAGTGCAGGACTGGTCACCATGCTTCTCATCCTCACCGCAGTGGGTCTCCCCACTCAGGACATCAGTCTTCTTGTTGCTGTTGACTGGCTCTTGTAAGTAATTGCGACTCCATGATTCATTCCGAAGAGGTCACTGTGTACTTATAGCAAATAATAAGCATTGATTTACTCTTTTCTGTTACCTTTCAATCATGGATCTCAAAGCACTCTAACTATACCTATTATACTGATGGAGTAACTGAGGCACAAATAGGAAAGTGAAGTGGTTTGACAGGGGCTACATAAGTCAGCATCAGAACAAGAAATAGAATCTAAAGAGCAGATCTGAACAACAGCTAGTGTAAACTGCCATAGAATGAAGTCAGTTGACTTAAACAATTGACTTCCAAGGAGCTGTGACAGTTTATATTAGCTAAGAATCTGTCCCAAAGAGGTTTGACTTACAGATTCCTGCCAAAGCCATTGCATTTCCTAGAGACATGTAACATTCCAAGCAGTTGTTCCACAGTTCAATAGCAATTATTCATCTATCTTCTTTTATGTTTCCTTATTGTTTAGTTCTTGTTTAAACTGAGGGATGTGGACGTGAGAGTCTGTGGATTTCACTGCAATGGTGCTTGCCTAAAACAGAAGGATTTTATATGGCATTGGGCATTTCTGTTAATGATCTCTCCCATTACCAAGAGCATACTTCAAACTACAGCCAACTGCTTGAGGTTAGGAAGATAGTGGTTGTCTGTTACGTTATGGTAGTCTTACACCTGTCTCTGAAGCATTAGGTACTTATAGAGACACAGCTCCAGGTGAGATGGACCACTGATCGATGCAGCATAGCAACATTCCTAATAGAATCAGGTTTCTTCATAAGTTCTTCTCAGCAAAAACACTTTTGGATGAATTGTCCTAAAGGAGCCCACAAATCAAACTAAACAAGAAGGCCAGCTGGGAAATGGGAAAATATTTCTGGTCAGTTTTTACCTAGAGAGTACCTAAAGCATGACCTGACCTACTTTTCAACCTCAGGGTCTTGGGGTTAGAGTCATTTCAGTGCCATTGCAGATCCTCAGACAAGAGACATTCATCCACTCCACCTTCTCCCCCAGCTTTCTGCTCCTCACCTTGGGGATTCAGAAGCCCTGTTAATAATTATAACAACAATAATACACCCAGGGTACATCTAAACTACATGGCTCCGTCGACGGAGCCATGTAGATTTGTTGTTCTGGCAAAGGCAAATGAAGCCGCAATTTAAATGATCGCGGCTTCATTTACATTTACATGGCTGCCGCGCTGAGCCGACAAACAGCTGATCAGCTGTTTGTCGGCTCGCGCGCTAGTCTGGACGTTCCCCCTGTCGACATCAAAGCCTTTTGTCGGCAGCCCCGGTAAACCTCATCCCACGAGGAATAACGGGGCTGCCGATGAAGGGCTTTGATGTTGGCAGGGGAGCATCCAGACTATCACGCTGAGCGGACAAACAGCTGATCAGCTGATTGTCGGCTCAGCGCAGCAACCATGTAAATTTAAATGAAGCTGCGATCATTTAAATTGTGGCTTCATTTGCCTTTGCCTATAATCCTAATCTACATGGCTCCATCGACGGAGCCATGTAGTCTAGACACAGCCCCAGAGACAGATCTTCAGGTGCATTTTAGATGGGAGGCCTAGACATCTTTCTGCCCCCTTTTCACAGAGTTCCCAGGGATCAGTTCAGCCCATCAACACAACTTAGAGCAGTCTCAGGGCTCCTCTAGGTTGCACTGATTGGTGACAAGCCCCTAGAAACCTTTACATCAATCTGAATTGCTGGAGCCCAATGCCTTCTGATCACTACCTTTCCTATTCCAGCACACCACTACACAGACTAAGGGTATGTCTACACTACAGTGCTAATTCGAACTAACTTAGTTCAAATTAGTTAATTCGAACTAAGTTAATTTGAACTAACGCATCCAGATGAAAAAACTAGTTCGAATTAGCATTTTGCTAATTCGAACTAGCATGTCCACACAGAGTGGACCCTGAACCAGGGTTAAGGATGGCTGGAAGCAGTGCCGGCAGGGCATCAGATGACGACTTAGAGCGTGGAGCTGCTGTCTCAGGCTAGCTGAGGGCTGTGCTTAAAGGGACC